CCCCCCCCCCCGTTTGGACACGTGTGTTCAGGCGCACTAGCACGTGTGCGCACGTGTATATAGAGTTTGACGTAGGTAGGCATGTTTTTGATCGCTTTCTGCTTTATTCTCCGAGGCAGAATCTCATCATCAAAACCTGAGTGCCAGAATTACAGGTGAGCTGTCACGTTCATCTGTCTTTGGGGTGGGTGCTGGGGACCCAGGAGCTGGTCTGCGCGCTTACACAGCAGGCGCTCTGCCGGCAGGAACTCACTGCTGGTCCCTAATCTACTGTTTTTACAGGGAACAATGTAGAAATTAACAAAAAAAGATTTAACAAGGAACAGAGAAAACCACAGTATTGAAAGTAAAGCCAAAATGGCTTACTCAAAAAATATATATATATATAAATAATTATCTTGTTTTTCTGAAGATAGAGGAAGATTATTAAGGCAGACGTGACCATTGTTTCAAATAAGATTCATGAAGACAACACAAATAAGAAAGTTGAATTTTTTCTTTTGTTTCATTTTTTGTTACAATTTATTCACTTTGTATCCTGGCTGTAGTTCTCTCCCTGGTCCTCTCCCAATCCTGCCCTCCCTTCCACTCCCCCCCCACCCATGTTCCTCCCCTAGTCCCCTGATAGGGAATGAGGTCCTATGTGACCCTAGGTTCTCTCTGACCCTAGCCTGTCAGGACTGGCTGCACCATCTTCCTCTGTGGCCTGGCAAGGCTGCCTCACCCCTCAGGAGTAGGTGATCAAAGAACCAGCCACTGAGTTCATGCCAGAGACAGTCCCTGTTCCCCTTACTAGGGAACCCACCTGGGTCCAGAATTTTAGGTTCTGTTGCTCTCCATGTGGAGCTCCTGTCCCCTCCAGGTCAGAAAGTTGGATTTTATTAGGTGAAGTTGAGAGGTTCAAAAACTTAGAGTTAATTCCTGGGACTGGGGCAAACTCACCAGATCACAGTCCTTTCAGAGCAGAGGTCCAGCAGCAGTCCCCCACCCAGATACACCTTGCGAAAAGCCCATGGAATGTGCTAAGTCCTCCTCCCCCTTACTTCAGCCTAACCTACAGGGCAGCCTAACCTAACAGGGCAGTCCAGGGTCAGGTGTCTCCCAGGCCTGACCATTTGCAGTCTTGGTGCCCAAAAACAGATCAATCATTTTAAAGGTCAGCTCCCCTAGAAGCCCCCTCACCCAATCCTGTAATGTCAAGACTTGCACTTGCCTGCTTATGTTTTGTCCCTTTAAAAACCTTGTTCTCCTGGAGTTGAGGGTCGCTTGCCCCTTTGTCTTTGTATTGTGTTTTGCATCAGACTCAAATCCTGTTTGGGGACTCGCGATCTGGGTATTACAAAATAAAAGTATTTTAGTAAAAATGACACTTTGCAAAACTGATCAAAACACAATTTTAATGTCTGCAAAGGACTGTCATGTTTTTTGAAGCAATAATTAATCATACTTCACGAAAAGAAACATGAAGTCTCAGGTCTAGACAGCTTCCTCAGAAGCCTCAGATATTTTGGTTGCTTTCAGGAGGTCAGCAAACACTGATAGCAAAATTTGGCAAGAATCAGTCAAACTGTGGAATCCTCTGCTCAGCCAAGCCAATAGGCTCTGAGCTACGTGAGGAAGGGCAGGTGTGTATCGACCCAAGTTTATTTGACTCCAAAGCCCACTCGATGGAGCCGAGCCATGCTAAGAGGAAGTGTGTGCTTTATCCTGAGCACAGCCAAGGAGAAAATGGAGGCAATTAAGACTAGCTCCCAGCCCTCCTGGAAAAGTGACCTTAGAGGAAAGGTGCTTACTAATAATGGCCCTGGAAGGACAAAGGTTCTGTCTTGGAGGTTGTTACAGTCAGTGTGAGAGAGAGTGTCTATTGTCCTGGCGCAGCCACTGGGCTTATCTGTAATGAGAGCTGGGAGATGGCTTTGTTCTCAAGCACAATCCTTCGCGGCAGGGACTCTGTTAGACACCGGGCTGCAGAACAAGACTGGGTTGAGTCCAGCCCCAGCTGAGAATTGTCCTCGTTGACTCAGAGCTGGCTGGGGAAAGCCCAGCCACAAGGCTGACGGCTGGCCTGCCCACTATCCCATCACTGGGGAGGCCAAGGGTTAAAGAGACTTCATAACCACAGTTCTCTTTCCTTACCTGCGAAAGGATGATGTCTGAGGAGAGTCTCCAACAGGTAGTAAGCTTCAACTCTCAACTGAGCTGGCATCACCAAATAACCCCTCCTTCCTGCCTCCCCCCTCCTAGCCAGGTCCCCACAGCTCTCCCCTCTGGGTTGTTCTGAGCTCAAAGGCAGTCTCCATCTGCAGAGCCTTCTGTCATTTGCTGGGACAAGAGGTAAGAGCAGGCTTGGGCCCAGCTCAGTAATGGCCTTGAAGTCCTTCGACGGAGAATTTACTGTCTTGGACTTCAGATTTGCTTCATTGGGTAAACACAAAAATGGGACTGCTTTTCTTCTCAAGAGGAAAAACCTTTGTACACATACAGTGTCAGGAAGGGAAGCAGCAGCGAGGTCTCTGGCTGCAAAGCGGGGAGAATGCTGGCTGCTGTCACTTTTAGCAAAGCAGGTTCCACTGCTTAAATGTCAGGGTGCTTAATGTCCTTGCGTGGAGATAGCTCCATGTCACTTAGAACCCGCCCTCGTCCACCTCCCGACACTAGCTCCTCTTTTACACGCACTTAACAATGTGTGTGCGTGTGCGTGTGTGTGTGTGCACACCCACACATTCATACATGTGCGTATATTTGTGTGTGTGAAGTCACTTAGCACTTAAAGCAGATTTCAAGCCTTGTAAGCCCACTTTTGTTTCAAAATTTAACCAGAAACTAAAGACTAGAGAAACAAGGTTTGAAAAGGATGTAGGCAGTGTTCATGAGAGAAGGTTCTACCTCACTGATGGGGATCCCAATATCTGAAAGTGAGTCCTTCTGTCTTGAAATGGTAAACCTTTCCTAACCTCTGGAGCACAACAGCTCCTTCAGGCTGCAGGGACAGAGCAGGGCATTAGAGACCCGGCTTGTGGCTCATTTTGTAGAGAAAGAAATGAAGGGGGTGGGGGGAGGAAAGAAATGAGGAAGCTGAGCTTTTTGTTGTTGTTGTTTTTCTCCTGAGATAGGGTTTCTCTGTGTAGCCTTGGCTGTCCTGGATTCACTTTGTAGACCAGGCTGGCCTTAAGCTCACAGAGATCTGCTTGCCTCTGCCTCCCTGAGTGCTGGGATCACAGGCTTGTGCCACTGCGCCCATCTGGAAGCTGAGCTTTCAAAGGGATGAAATTAAATCTTTCCACCTCTTAGCTAGCTGCTAGCAAAAGTTGGGTGTTTTCCAGCAATTTCTCAAATTTGCTTTTAATTGAATATGTGTGCCAACAGGAATGTGGATCTCCTTGACTATAATGCAAATTGGCTCACGCTGCATTTTCATTTGATGGCTCTTGAGCAAACTTCCTGGTAGGAGAACAAATTTATCTCATTCCTTTGAAAATCTCCGTGGCATTTAAGGACAGAGGTGGAGCACGACTTGGTGCGTGTGTGCTGATCTTCTGCCGAGGGTCAGGTATTTCTATCGCATTGTCCAGCTAAGAACACATAAAGTACTTCTCTGCGCTTCCCTACCCATCAGGCTGTCGTCTTATTTCATATTCGTCTTATTTTCATCTTCTTAACTGGTAAAGATTCATTACGGGGAAAAGAACCAAAGACGCTGAGTTTTAAACCTGGCATTTTCACACCCAGTTAGTTACCACTCATAATCTACCTGCCCTTGGAAGCGGTGCGTCACCTACCTCAGTTTGAAAGGTTTTGCTTAGGAAATGGTCTGGGCAACTAACTCAGTGCTGCTGTGATGGGCAAGAGACCAAGCAGTCCCGCAGCAGCGGTGGTACCTGAGCACCTTGGGTCCTTTCAGAACCACCCTGAGCCTCATGCCTCAGCCTCTGACGGGTGTCTGAACAGCAGACACCTCAGCTGTACCAGAGGAGCTC